TTCTGGAGAGTCCAACGAACATTATAGAGAATTATTGGGGGATGTTAAAGAAATATTATATATTTAGTCAGCTACTTGTTCTTGGAGAATTGAAAGGTGTCGTTTAAGAAGATAAAATTTGTCAATGTTAATTTACAACTTCCTTGGTATACCCAAATAAACTGTACCAGGCATCTCGAACGTCGTGAGTGTTTACATTGACTGACAGCCAAATCCATCGAAAACAAGAGATCGGTCTTCGGAATCGCGATAAACGGAGATCGGCTCTAAATTTGGCGCGGAACAAGTTTCCATGATCAGGTCTGGACTTTGGATTCAACGCGCTGACGAACGTTGATGGGATTTCGTCGAAGCGGATGCATCAATTTGTTCGTTTCGCGACGAAGAAGGGATCCAGTTTACGCTCGCGAATTCCTGGCCACCTTGAGGATCGACCTTGCACGTTGATTCTTAAACCAGACTCAAAGAATGTTCGACCGTCGCCGACCAATTAATTTGACCGATTAATCCTGCTCGCCGGTCGGCGAATTACTTTCATTAATTAATCGTCTGCCAGCTTCGAGTGAATTGCATATTATTCAGAACCGCCTGACCCGCGGAAGCTTTAGAACTTAAGTAACTATTAATCATTTTAATTAGTTCGTTAATTGGTTGCCTTAACGGTGTAATTAATTAAACGTCAGAACTGGCTCAATCCAGCATGCGAAAATATTATTCTTTGTCGAAAGGGTGACTTCCATGTGGCAACCACCCCGAACAATCCGGTTGCCTCTAATTATAGGAAACGAATAATGAGAGGACAACTGTGTTTGGTTTAAACCGAATTTTCACCGGAATTTTAACCGAACGATAACGATTTACAACGCTTGTCCAAATATTTTTGAATGTACTTTTTTCACAAATATATTTCGTTAATTTGCAAGATGGATTGCGATGACTATGTTCTTGCCACGCAGTCTTAACATAACATAAATTGTAATACGATTACAAATCTTCAATTGCATCGAGTATCAATTTTAATTGCTCTGGCAAGGCTTGTCAATGAAATTGAAAAATTTAAAAAGGACATTACAATAATATTTTATAAAAATATTACTCCCATCTAGATACTTTGGAACACACTTTTTAATCAAATTTGATAAAGAAATCAAATTCCTTTATGTACTGTGTTACTCCAAAATTCAGTGTTCGTATTTGTATTTTAAAAAATTTCCTGTAATTTAACAAATTATATACAAAAAAATATATCTACAAGATTTAGAATTGACACTCTCAATAGTATCCTCAAAAAAAAATCTTAAATGTGACTAAAATTTTTCCCAAAGTACTTGATAAATTATTATCAATATATTTATAAGTACGCTTAATTATTTACCCGCGAAGCAATAATAATTCGGAAAATACTCGTGTACCAAACCAAGCTTCAGCTATCGCGCTGACAGGAAAAAATGCTTCGTTCGTAGCAAGTTCGCGCGATCAACGACAAGCTGACGAACAGATGACTTAAACGGATCTCTTTTCTGCTCTGGTTCGCGGTTTTTGTCCCGTCCAATGACACACGCATTTTTTGCTCTTTCCCCGGATCGTGCGAACCGGAGGTTTCCGTTTAACGGCCAGTCGAAGCGAGAGACACTCGGGAGAAAGAGAACTCACGAGTCATTTTTATTTGCGACCGCCCGTGGCCTTTGACCTCCGCCCCTTCTTTTCCCCTTCCTACTTGAAACAACCAAGTTCGAAAGCATCGAGAGGCTGGCCCGGGACGAGCGGCACTTCATCGTTCCCGAGCCTCGAAAAACGCAGAACGCGATACCATTGAAGGCTGAACTCTATGGGGAACTACTTGACCGTGGTTAACCTTGACCAAATCTCCCAATACTGAGTCCAGCCGTGCGAAAGAAGTTATTTTTCGGGGTTCAAACTGTGCAGCCACAGCTTTCGTTGAAAGCACAGCGTTTGGATCGATCCACGTATATTAATTTGAGCAAAGAAAGAAACATCTTTAAAGTTGGATGTCAAAATTTCTCATTTCAACTTATTATCAAAGGTACCCCATCCAATATGCAAACATTGCAATACAGGAATTACAGCAGATAACCTAATTCTCGACTGCCTAAAATATAATATTCTTCGTTATAAACACAAGCTGGGAAACTCAAAGAAAACCTCACCGATAAAGAATTATTGCAACCTGCTGGGAAAAAACGAAATTAATTTAGAAAATATAACTAAAAATCATCCTATCAACGCTGATATTAACCTCGTAGTGGATATGTAAAAGAACTACTAAATAAAAATATTCTTTCTTTAAATTAGTGTAATTTCCTCTTGAGGAATAAAAATGGACGTTCCCACGGTTCACGATACAAGCACACACTGTATGGAACGAAAGAAGCTATCAGAGATCTTCAGGCAGATACGAAAGCCATCATTTTGAAGACTGTGACGATATTTCTCGCAGTCACCAGCAGAGGGCTACGCTCTCTCACGCGTGCTCGACCAACCATTGAATGTCACAGCGTTTCTGAAAGGCTTCCTTCTCTTTTCCTTCTCTTTCCTCCTATCTTGCTCACTTCTTAGAACAGCAAGCCTCGCCACCAGAAGGTTTAAAAAATTGCATTGGAAACGAAATTAACAATGGAAGTTGAAGCATGCAATGAAACAACTCTTTCCGACTATACTTTCTAAGAGATCAAAAATATGTTTAAATTGCTGAAATTAACAATGAAGGTGGAACAAAATGGCTAACAATAGAATAAGTAGCAATCTCCAAAGTAAGTACTAAATATACCCACTTGTCCCTGACTATAGCAACTACAATTTAAAAGAAAAACAACTTTAACAAATAGATAATAGAAAATCTCATCAAACTTAAAGACTGAACGATTAAGAAAAATTGTTCCAAGGGTCATACATACGAAGCTCCTTCGTTTCTTCGAATACTTCCTCTCCAGCAACGTAATGGCGCAGTGCAATAAACAACAACGAGAATCTCCCAGTGGAAAATTCTGAGTCACGTAATGCCGGAGAAAAGTAGTGTGAGGATGACGGACCGTTTCCGCGTCGACACGTTTTTAGAACTATCATCCGCCGGTGCACCAACACGTTCGGCCTGTTTGCGGATTGGCGTACTATGTTTGCGCCGCGCAAATATCGGCTCGATGCTCGGCGCTGTATCGACATGCACCGGTGCATCAGCGATGCACCGGTCCACGCCACTTAGACGCGAGCATCGATGCACCGACACGCTCCAGAAGAAATAATTGCGCTCGAGAGGATCCTGTGTACGTCGATACGCGTACAAGCTTTTGACTCGCCAATGAGAACCGGTCGCGAGATTCTTTTTTCCGTGCAGTTCGCCCCGAGAACCATTTAATTCCGTGGTCCCGAGATTCTGGAACAGGTGTACTAATTTAGGCTCAGTTCGCGACGAGAGTAAGAGGGAATTCGAGGAGTTTGATAAGTGTCGCTCTGGTACGCTGGGTCCCCGTCGTGATGTTTGCAATTACGAAACACCTTCGACGATTCGAATTTGTAATCCGGACTAATTCGCCGACAAAGTCCCTTCAGAGGATCGCCCATGAATTACTTTATTGCGATACGATGGAAATTCTTGGCTAAACTTTCTTCCATCCTTTGAATTATTGAACGAATATAGGTCTGAACAGATCAATGTATTCCAATTTCATGTTTAATACGATGTATTCAAACACGTGAATATTATGTATTGTGTATGAAGGGCTTAGTTCTCGATTTTGAAAATTCAACGATATGTAGAATCTTTTTTTAGAGAAGACCATCGAACCCATTTGTTTCAAATTGTATTATGGTGAATCTATAATTGTAGCTGCTCTCTTCGAACTACGCGACATTTATAAATGAAGCTGAAATTTGATCTCTCTTGTCTCCCCTCGAAATAGAATTAGGCAAAATGTAATCTGATTATATTATAGCAATATTCCAACAGTGTTAAAGGAAGCACCTTGGCAAATTGCTTTCGATGTAAGAGAAATCACGGATTAATCGTTAATTCCAAGAGACAGCCAACAAATTGGAAGGGAGCAGAACGTTGAAAGGCAAACCTCACGAGCGAAAACCGGCCACGGTTTCGGGTGTCATTCGAAGCGTTTAGCCCTGTGGCCGAGGACCTCTAAAACAGATGTACCGCGGTAGGCAAAGACGGAATAAAAAGGATGGGAAAACACGATGACGAGGAACGAGGCATCGTATGGGAGGTGGACCAGGCGGTCATGGACGAAACGTGTTTTGGAATCTTGCATGGCGATCGTGGCGTCACGTTCAATTTGTTGTGCATGCTCGGCTGCTGGGATCGTTCGGAGCGCTTTCAGCGAAAGGATCGATGATGTTGATGATCGATTCGTAAACGAGCAATGTTGTGGCGTGTCGGGGAAGAAATTCGTCGCGTAAACGAAATCGTGTTAACGCTTCAATTAGATACTATTAGGATTACCAAACGTAATCTTTTAAAGATATCCTATCTTTCAAATCACAAAACAACGTCTTACTTTTCACGTATATGCAAAACTATATTCTTTTTAAAGTGATTAGGCAAACAGATCATACTATGTAAAGCAACTTGATTAAATAGAGATTCTATTGCAAATAGTTTTATATTCACGTAGACAAAAATTACGTTTTAAAGACTTTTTTATTTTATCGAATACCTATTATATTTTAAAAGCATACAAATGTTCTAAGGAAGAGTACTTTATCTACTCTTCTCATGCTTGCTTCTGACTACTTTTAATCTTGGACTATTATAACGAGATGCTGCACTCCCCATCGATTTATTTGCAACTCTCATTAAGGATATTCATTCTTTCGTTGTTGATTGTAAAATAAAGAACTGTTTGTGCATTAGTTGATAACAGTTCCACGATAATATCGAAATTACGTATAGTTGAACTAGTCGAAATTTTTTCCCCAAAAAGGGATGAGAAAATTTCCATGAATCTGAAAGTAAAATTTGTTGAAAAACTCACGTTAACTTTGGCAAAATACAGCTCCAGCTCCTTGTAAGGATCCATCTCGGGTTTACTCCTGCTCAGATGTTTGCCACTTTCATCACCACTTTCCACTATTTTCAACCGATTCACTGTTTTCGAAGCTGGCAAACTCGACGCGACACTTCCTCTCGAGCCATCGACCTGCAACCCACCGCTGTCTTGCATGGTCTCCATGTTCTACCGTCACCTTGACCTCACGCGCATTTTCTTGCGCACCTGTATCAGAAGTATTCGGTGTGAGTTGGATGCCAAATGAACGAACAAAGTAACTAAATAAGTCACAGAAAATGATTTTCAAATCAACACATTCGTTGTCACATCAGACACATGAAGATGAAATTCACGAAGAATGTTCATTTTTTTGAGTCATACATTATTACACGTAATTGTAACCAATTTAAAGTAAATATGATAAACATTTCCTTATACTTGTACAAATAGAATGATGAGATGTGGCCCTATTTCAAAAACAAGTGCAAATGCTTATTGCAATTACACGGTTGTACCAGGACAAGATAACAAGAATTACATCATCGATTCAACTTCTTCTACCAATTCTTTTTATCTTTGCTTAGAAAAGAGATACAGCTTGTTCCAGTTTCTAGAACTGTGTATATCAGATTCTATAAACAACGATTGTCGAGTCCAAACTACTGTGTTTCTATTCTAGTGGTTGTTGTATTCGTAAGAAGTTTCGATAACAATTGACGGGAAAGGGCCGATAGAGTTCTCGTTCGTTTAATTAAAAGTATTGGAATAGATTAGAGGGCGCAACGTTACAACTCTTTAATTCGAGCAACGCGGAGGCGCGCGAAGATTCTTAATCAACGAGTGATTAATGCGTTGACCAAATCGTAAGAGGCTCGATGCTCCTTCGGCGTGTATTTGCTCTTCAAAAGGGACTGTAATTAATATCGTTACCGCGGAGATACAAATTAGCGTTTGAAACGATGAAAGAACGGAACAAAAGGAAACCTGTGGGTACCTTCGGGCAAAAGGATTATAATTAGCCCTAGTGTGACTCATTGGCCGGTGTGCGCGGCTCGTATAATCCCGGCTTGTCAAACACTTGAAAAGGGTAAAATGGCCACCTGCGCTGTTATGATTGCATTTGGCTAAATTTAGCAGAAACGCTCGCGTTAGTCACTGGACCTAATTATATTTCGCAGATTAGTTCGCCCACCGAAATGCGTCCAGGCTAATCTAAAATTGCTGCTAAGCTTCGTACACGCATTTCTTCCTTCGATTATGCCGTTGGCTCCGTCAAACGCGCGACGTCAACGATTCTGTACTTTTCGATCGAGTTTTGTAACGTTTACGTTTGCAGTTACGGATTAATAATCCAATCAAGACGGTTTTACTTTCGAATGCAAGTTTTTTTTGGTAATTGAAGTTTTTAAAAAAATACATACACATCCGATATTTTTGATTATTTTACGTAACTGCAAAGCCTTCTTTCTAAACTTTAAATGGGGAGGGGGCACTTTGTAAATACTCCATAAAACATATAGAATATTTCTAGATTGTTAATTAACACTTGACTGAAATCTTGAAATTCACAAAAAGTGAACTAAAACACACTATTTTCAGATTATCCTATCTCGGAGCAAGCCTGTAATTACCCGAGGAACAACACTCTATAATCACCAGAAAACCAGCTTTCTCCATAATTCTTTAAACTTCCTTCCGACGCGTCGAAATATATATAAATTAATTTAATGAAAATTCCACCATTTCTAACAGCTTACAATAACTTTCAAATCTTTTATTCGAGCATTAGCACGCCCACGTGCGCCTAGGTGTATATTTATACACACCGGTGTCCCTGACACATCCACATTATAAATTACCGAAGAACGACTCTTCTATCTCTCGAAGTTAGTAATAAAATATTTCCACATAGAATATGAAACGCTTTATTGCTCCGGGAATGTGATTTCATAATTAAATATCGGCATCGGACACCGAACTGCTCGACCGTAAATAAACGCGAAGCGAGGAGTTTCGCGTCGTTTCGAAGTCGCTTCCCTCCGTAGACCCCGTCCAACTTTATGGTTTTAACTGTTTCTTCGGGGAACACACTCGCGCGAGAACATTGCCTCGCGAATGGGACAACGTTTTCTCAAGTTCTACGAGCATTTTAAAGTTCAACGGGCCAACAGGTTTCTATCATAGAGGCCGGATCACGATCGGGCGATCTACCGCGAGATCGTGTATCGATTGTGCCGAGTCAAGTGGGATACTTATAGGACATGATACGACTGCCGTTTCATTCAGTGAGCTCGCCAACAATAAAGTCATGCATGAGAACACGAGCTGCTCGCGAGGCGCAAACATAATATTAGAAAATCGCCGGATGTCTGATCGCGGCAACCTGTCGGCATTCAATACCGTCGGGTGATTTCACAGGTGAACAATGATGCTCACCGCCCGTGGCGATTTCAAGCTGTTTTCGCGTGAAATTCGTTCCTCGATACGCTTTCGGGCAAAAACTATATCTTATATAGTTTTCATATTTACTACTGTAAATTGAAGGAAATAAATATTTTAATATTTTTATCCGTAGACACGTCGTGAATATCGTTCTTTTAGACGAAGCTTCTTTCATTTTTTAATTGTTATGTACTTCAACTATTTGTAAATAATAAACAGCACATTTAGTATTATAAACTGAAACAAATAAATGTTTTAATATTTTTACCTTTGGACACGTTTATATATATTATATGGTGCCCTGAATATCTTATTTCAACGAAATTCTGCGAATGTAACGTTTTTTTAGAACAAGCTTTTTTCATCTTTCATAGCAATTTCAACTCAACTGTTTGTAAATAATATATTTTCTGAATCTTTGAGTAATTCTCAGAAAATCTATTATTTACAAACAGTTGAAATACATACCAATTACAAAGTTAGATCGTTTCAATTTCCAGTATTTTTACAAAATACTCATGGACTCACATATAGACTCAACTTACAGTAAGAATGATAATGTTTTGAATCATAACTATACAATAGTGCTTCGATAATTCTAGGAAATCGAGGCTACAATATCTACAATTAAGTCCTTCGTTTGCTGAGCAGAGAATTCTGAGAGTAGGCTACCTAACAGTACATTAGAATTAATTTTAACGAACCACGAGGTTAAACATATTAATCTTTATAAAATTATGTTGAATAAAACAATAAAATGATAATTGTGAAGGCTAATGAAATGGTAAAATTTAAAACTAGACAAAATGGGCTAATTGATTCACTGAATCATATAATTAGCAATCCAAAGAATTCCTCAATAATGAAAACATGAGTTTATTCTTAACGTCTCTTAAATACTCTTGGAAAGTATATCGTCTTCGAAAAGAACGATTAGTAAAAAACACTTCCTTTTAATAATATCAAGGTATTATATTAATATCAACCGTTGGAAGAAGTAGTCGGCGTTACGAGGCGAGCGTAGGAAGCGAATCGAATTATAAAATAATTTCGAACAGATAATCAGACCACCGTGATAAATGTATCACTATACTCTGCCACCGTACCGTGAAATTAATTGATCGAATTTTTAAGCGGACCTCGCCGGTGATCACAGATACTACTAATAATAATAATACTGTTAGAAAGTAGTAATTTACAAAGATAAAATGTCCGTGCGCGTTACAGAGTGAAACCCGACGGTGTCTGTAAAATTGAGATGTTGAACGCACGGAAAATACGTCTGGATAATTACAAGTCGACGCAAACGCGCGGCACGGCATCGTTGAAACCCTGTTCGTATTCGAATCAGTTTCACAAATCCGTGATTAGACGCACGTCCGCGCTGTATATCTCCCTGTCGGGCCGCGACGCCTGTTAACTAACTGTGACGGCAATATATGAGATCGATGTTTAATTAATTTTTTCACAATAATCAAAACACACGTTTAAATGCTAGCTCTCCGGTTTTATAGACCAGTTTCTCGATCGACGTTGATTTATTAGCGAGAATAAGATTAGCGTCTTAATTTCAGAGTCAACGATCCGGTGGTGCAGCGAGGTTGCCTAAATTGAATCGCCTTCTACATTTTCTTTGATCCATTTCTGACGAACGAAAATATTTTCACCGATTGTACGTCTGCAAACGGGACAGAGGGGGAAAAGAAATTTTTTGTTTGAACCAATTTTAATAGAAATTTCCTCAAAAATATTAGAAATAAGTCTAAATAAGTTGAGAAGCTGGTTGTTTAATATGGACGATCAGTGCAAAGTAAATGCCCCATTTAATAATAATGGAATTTGGACATTATGGGCTACGAACATTTGTTCAACATTTGTTTATACGATTATAACAGAATTGTTTATGATTTTTTGATTAATCAATCGCTACAACCTTTCACTTTTGTCGAGAACTAAAACAATGTAAAATAAACACAATCTTTCTAGCAAACTGTTAATAGTCAGATTAATAAAATAAATTGAAAGTGACAAAATTAGGAGCAATTATGTTACAATTTTGAGTCATAACTTTAAACATGAAATATTAAGTTTCATATATAAATATACACTTATTAATTTCTGGTATCAATATTATAGAAAAACTTTTTAATTCGTGACTTACAACCATTGACTCAAAACCATTCTTTTTTTGTAATATCATTTTTATAATTCAAGCAAAGTTTATTCACAGAAAGGGAATTTTCTTAATTAGAGCGAAAGAAGTCTCAAAGTCTGTATACTCTGATAAACAACAGTATAATCACACTTTAATTTCATAACAGTTGTATCGACTGTGTTATTAACGACTATATAAATATTAATAGCGACTCGATATATTTTAAATATCACTAAAAATATTGATATCGTTGAACAAATTAATTATCCTTTCCTGTTATGTGCTTGATCCAACTAAATCAGTAAGGTTGTCCTTCTTATCGTACTCTTTTCTTCCTCGAGTGTATTTCTGGTATTCAATAATTATTTATATGACTCAACGATAGGCTCGAATTGCAAGTGTTGCGTACGATAAGAGAGTCGTTATTCAAAATATGCGAATAACTCATTTTTGCGTGTCCTTATCGTATATGTTTCTATGCAAGTCATAGAAATTGATTTGCATTGATTTACAGAGTGTTTTATATGCTTCCAGATTAGATTCCGTTTATGTTTCCACATTACTTTAATATGTTCGTTATTATCCAAAATTATTGTTTTTTATACAGATGACAATCAACGCAAGTTTC